TCGAGCTGAACGAAGGATAAATTACCTACCTGACTTTGGACAGCAAAATCAACAGGTTATGCTCAAGCACAAAAGCCAGTAAGCAACCAAATTTCTGGAATTTCCTTGGAAAGCTTGATGAAACAATTATGGCTAAAATGATGTCATAATTCAAAGTCAACATGGATCCTTGCAGGTTGAACACAACTCTCGGTGAGAAACACTCACACTCTTTATTAAGTCCAATTAAAAAGAGATTACAAGACACTCAGTAGAATACTACCATACTTTGTTCTACTTGAGAACTGCTCGGGATGAAAACTTTAATAGAGTGGATGAGTATTTATGTAGAGACTAGACAATTTATTCCTAAAATACCTAAAAAAAATTCTAGAATATTTCGGTATCTTGATTCCTAAAATACCTAAATCATTTTCCTAAAATATATAGACAATAAACTCGTACAATTATTGGGTTTGACTCTATTGGGCTAGTGATGATATTTTAACCAAACAGACCTAACCATTTTCTTCCATGTTACAAAGAGTACCAAAAGAAGAAACATGTAAACTTGTGCCATCATACAAGGATGGTAAATCCTGCTTTGATTAGAACCATGATCCTTTAATACTTTGATGACCTAAGTAATAATTTTGTTTTAGGTGAAAATTCCCACATCGGAAAAAGCTTTCCCAAAGAAGTTTTGAGAGATAAGTATGGCCCCAAATTTGAGTTTTACAATGCCAATTCTCCTCATTAGCCCTCATTTTGTTGTAGGTAAACACTTGACTCAATGTCAAATCCTTTTCTAGAAAGGGAGGATGATATGATTCATGCCACCACCGCCATCATTCAAAAGACAAACACGAGACTCAAGGCAAAAAGCTACAAGTAAGCTTTGATCCAACAATTCAAACCCATGATCATCATTACAACTATAACATTTTTAGCCAACATGAGCAACTCCATAGGCCAAATTGGAAACAAATTCAAGAGACATCGAGATAGGGAGTCATGACCAAGACTTTTGAACATTTACCAACCTTAAATTCTTGTAGTTTGGAGTCTTAAACTCAGTGTCATGGTCATGCTTGTTTAAGACATGTTGTTCATGGTTGCATATCTATTCCAAACTTCTTTTACATGCTTTCATCTTAGATAGACCTTTACTATTTCATGTTGTGTCAGTACAGGGTGTATGACTGTTCACCAAAATCATGTCCACATCTGTTAGGGCTAAAATGCCCCAAAATGTACTACAGAAGATATGATTAGTTGTCACTTCTTCCTACTCAGGTCATATGCTATCAAAGTCGTTGTTGTTGCCTAATCGCTTTTAGATTATAACATTGTTTTTAACGTAATGCTTCGCTCACGTTTTCTAAAACATTTCTTTCAAACGTGACTCGAGGCTCGAGCACACACTGACATTGTCTGTGAAGTCTGAATTTCTCATTGTTGACTTGTTCACTGGGTTAGAACAAGTGTCTCACAATCATTGTCTTATTATCGCAAGAGTGCAATCGTGACACTCATGGCCCCAATTGCAAAGTAAATTAGGATCTCTTTTTGGCATTTTTTGCATTTATAAGCCAATTTTTCTAGTTTTTCTAGATAGATGGTTCATGATGAATTTACGAATAAGAAATTAGAGAATATCTTCTCCTTTTTTTAGTCTCTCATTCCTTTTTGGTTCATGAAATTGATTACAAGCTTTAAAAAAACCGTAGTTACACATTGATCACCGAACTTGTAGGTTATTTTTGTAACAGCCAAGCCCACCACTAGCAAATAATGTCTTCCTTGGGCTTTTCCTTTCGGGATTCCCTTCAAGGTTTTTAAATCACATCTGCTAGAGAGAGGGTTCTACACCCTTATCAAGAATGTTTTGTTCCCTAATCCAACTGATGTGGGATCTCACCGTTTTAAGCTTTCATTATAGGAGACTAGTTGTCCTTATGCAGGTTGATCAATCAAAGACGGCTCTCCTTGTTTACAAGCATTAGGGTATGAGCTAAAAGTTCACTTCAATACTTCACAACCTATCTAAGCTACTTTTAGAATATGATAAGCAAACTTTGTCCATCAAAGGGGAATCTTCTCAAACTGTATACACTTTCAAAGTTATCTTTAAAAGAACACATTATTGATTCTATCCAAACACGCAAGAATCTTAGTATTTGAAAAGATTTAGTCAAATTTTCATTATGGAAGGAAAATATTCTATAAAAGTGTAGAATAACCGATAGATTGGAACAATTCGAAAGAAAAAATGTAGAACAACTGAAAGATCAGAACCGTTCTAAATCACTTCTGTTGACTTTATCACAAGATGAATGATCAACATGATGAACCTCACCGACCTTAAAAGAACAAAACCCATTATGGTGACTATATTAGTTGATATAGAGCCCCAACAGAGATTGAATTACTAAAATGTAAAAATTTAATTACTAAAATTGAGTTTTTTTTAACTTAGAACTATCTTTTTACACCATATGAATCTCAAATATGTACCCAAAAGTAAAGCAAAACTTGCAATAAAGAATGGCATTCACCAGCTGTTGATTGAGTGAAAGTAATATTAAAGGGAACCACAAGGGACAAACAAGAAATAATTGTATATTAGTTGAGTGATAAAGGAGGGGATGAACTTGAAGCATACTCAAAATCATGCACTTATAAAAATATATGTTTAGGGATGGAAAGATGCATGAGAGAGAATGAGATATCATTTTCAAATGCCAAGGTGTGTATGAGATCAGTCAACTTAGGCTATGGGATAGACACACTAATTATTAAATCCAAATGGTTAAGTTTGTGAGTCCAAGAAGCAAGAATATATGACTTTCTTTTTGTCTTTCTTCAAATAATAATACTAATGGTTCGATTTCATAACTCTTTCATGTTTTTTGTTTTATGTTTTGCTTGTGAAAACTATGTTTGTTTTCTCATATTTATCTATAGACTTGTTAAGAAAATTATGAGTTCTTAGTCAAATTCTTGACAAAAATGACAGGTATGTGAATATATTGTATCGTTGTAAAAAAATGAAGTTCAGTAATAAATCTGAGATATATAGTATGAATATGCAACTTAATTGGTCAAAATATTCACACCTTTGATCTATGAAAATTATAGGTTCGGATTTGCACTAACCTATAGAATACTTAGTGTGAATATACAATTTAACCGGTCAAAACATTAGCAACAATCATCCAAGAAAATTACAGGTTCAAATTTGCACCAACACTTTAAATATATAGTATGAATACACAACTCAATTGGTTAAAACATTAGCAACCACGATCCGAGAAAATTATAGGTTCGAATTTGCACTGACCTTTAGAATACTTAGTATGAATACACAACTCAACTGGTTAAAACATTAGCAACTTCGATCCAAAGAAATTATAGGTTCGAATTAGCACCTGACCCATAGTATACTTTGTATGAATACACAACTCAACTAGTCAAAACATTAGCAACTTTGATCCTAAAAAATTGTAGGCTCGAATTTATTCCAACCCTTAGAATACTTATTACGAATACACAACTCAACTGGTTAAAATATTAGCAACCACGATCCAATAACTTTATAGGTTCGAATTTGCACCGACCTTTAGAATACTTAGTATAAATATATACCACAACAACAGGTCAAAACATTAACAATCTCGATTCAAGAAAATTATAAGTTCGAATTTGCACCGACACATAGAATTCTTTCGAACTAGATGGGTAGGGATAGAAACAAATGCATTAAAGAAAGGCAAAAAGTTAGAGAGTTTGAGAATCCAAGAAAAGAAGAACACATGCATGAGTTTTTTGTAAGAAAGTATAATAATTAATGAGAATTAATGGGTATTGAAAGGAAGGGATTAGGGTTATAAAAATGGAGTCAAAGTCAAAAAGTTTAGAATCCCAAACAGTTTTTACAAAGCCCAAGTAGGGTTTGGTCAAGGAAAGAAAGGAAGAAATGAGCATTCCAAGGGTTTGTTCATTATGTGAGGATTCTTCTCTCTCACACACACAAATCCCACACACGCATCAACCCATTCTTTTCCCTTTTCTTTTCTTTCACTCTTTTCACACTAATCCATCTTTATTTTTAGGTTAAAACCGCGTTTTAATCGTACTTTATGTTTCGTTTCATTTCTGTTCTTATACTTTTGATAAATCTTAAAATTTTTACTTAGTATGGTTCATATCGTATCTTATTTACGAGGTTCCATAAAAAATTAACTTTAGACTAATTTTTTAGATTTATTTGTCTTCATGCGATGGTTAAGGAGTGAAGGAGTACATGAATGTAACAGCTCAAGTCCAACGTTAGCATATATTGTCCTCTTTGAACTTTCCATTTTGAGGTTTCTCTCAAAGTTTTAAAACATGTCTACTAGTAAGAGGTTTCTACACCTTTATAAGCTACCCCTTAGCATATATTGTCCTCTTTGGACTTTCCCTTTTGGGCTTCCCCTCAAGGTTTTAAAACGTGTCTAGTAGGAAGAGATTTCTATACCTTTATAAGCCACCCCCTTAGCATATATTGTCCTCTTTGGACTTTCCCTTTTGGGCTTCCTCTCAAGGTTTTAAAACGTGTCTACTAGGAAGAGGTTTCTACACCTTTATAAGCCACTCCTTTGGAGTCCTAGCGTTCTTGCTGGCACACCGCCTAGTGTCTGACTCTAATACTATTTGTAATAGTTCAAGCCCACCGCGAGCAAATATCGTCTCTCTGGGCTTTCCTTTTTGAGCTTCCTCTCAATGTTTTAAAATGTGTCTACTTGGTCGAAGTTTTAAAATGCATCTGTTGGGGAGAGATTTTCACACCCTTATAAGTCACCCCCTTAGGGGCCAGCATCCTCACTGACACACCGCCCGGTGTCTGTCTTTGATACCATTTGTAACAGTCCAAGCCCACCACTGACAAATATTGTCCTCTTTGGATTTTCCTTTCAAACTTCAACTCAAGATTTTAAAACGCGTCTATGGAGAAATTTTCACACCCTTATAAGAAATGCTTCATTTTCCTCTCCAGCTGAGATGGGATCTCACAATGAACGAACCAAAACCACATTCGAATAAGAGTGATTCGAAAGTAGTAAGCATGTAAGTGAGGACAAAACATGCTAAAAGAATGTGTGTTGGTCTATGGAGATTGTCTTCAATCATAAAAACACTTCAAAACCAATAGATAACGGCTCATGACAATGTCTGGACTATCAAGTATTGAATCCATATCTAAATCCTAATCCGACTCATACCCATGAACATTACATCTCAAGAATTTCATTATTTACATAAAAAATAATAATAATAACAAACACATAAATGTTGTTTAATTTTTAAAAGCTCACTTTCTATCATACCTACTTTCAGAAATCGATAAACAAAACTTAAATTTCACCGAATCAGATGGAATAAGACATCAAATTTGTTCTTACGTTTATCTAATAATTATCGAAGAATACAATAATGAATACATAATCTTTCCTAGATTATTATAGGGTGATTATATAGAATACATAACCCTAATCAATATGAACATAGATTAGGGACATGAGCATGGGAGGAAAAGAAGGCATGGGGTTTTGCATAAACATATATTTTAAAACCTTTCTTTTAGCTTTAATAAAGCTTTACTTTTCTTGGAAATCTCTTCTCTTCTTTGATAATGATGCAACCAAATACAGAGAAAGCCAGAAGGAGAAAGAAGTATGGAGTATGGAGTAAGGAGATGTTCCCAAGGAGGCACGGGTGCTCCGCTGATTTCTCCTATGTATAAATATTTCTTAAACTTATTATTAAAATATAACGTTGTTATTACGTTTCTATTTTGCAGAATACGTTCGTCTCTATAATCGTTTGTTTAAATATTGTTGTTTTTATGACGTGAAATAAGAGACGATCTTCAACCTTCATGGATGCAATTCGTTTTCAAGAGATGACATGTCGTTTGTTTTTACGAGGTGGTTTTCGATGATGGCCTCTTGATACCTAATCTAGTTCTCTTCGGGCATATGATTCGTTTACATGCTATGTAGGGCGCAAATATTGTTCATGTGCTCTACATTCACGTCGTCTAAGAACATGCTAATGAGGGTCAACCTCAAAAGCATAATATGATAGTGTATGAACATATCGTGAACATGGGGTTAGTATTATCATTATTAAAGTGGAAGAATCAATATTATCTCAACGTCACAGTGAACCTCATATAGTATAGCTCGGAGCAACTTTTGAGCACATCTTCTACGTCTACTGCTTGGACGAGGAGGAAAGTTAGGAATGTCATACATATAATACAGGTACTCTATGATCATGTCACCATTATTACATAGTTAATCATCTCTAAATTTCATGAGATATCCTGAATACGTCTTAAGCACGATCGAGATAAATAAATTTATATTTGAAGGAGTTCGAACATGTATCTGTATTGGATAATTATATGTGCAGTTGACTTAGTGACACAAAACTGGTCTCTCCACCTACATTAATATTAAATATTAAATTTCAAACAAATTATAATAATTATATATATAAAAAAAAAACATTATAACATACCAAAAACGAAGAGCAAGAGGAACCATTGGGAATCGTTCCCAACCCCAAATTTGAAGTAAATTTATGGGTCTAGCAATGTAACGAGCATATAATATTTTGGTCTTGTAGAGCTGCCTATACAATCATGCTAAGCACGCTCCACCCAAGAAATCGCCATGCATCTTCAAAGTTTGCTAAGAGCAGCAAAAACATCAAATACAACTTTTAAGTTCCTAGCAAATAGTTTCACAATGTATGCTCGAGCATTCCTCATTGTAGCTACCTCATTTACATCATCATCTAACCCTAAAAACTAAGACGCTAACCAAAGTAAGCTTAATAATGTCATTTTCTAGAGTTACTCGAGTAACAACTGAAATGTTTGTTTCCACTTATACCTTATTTCTCTAGCAACAAACTCGCCATTCATTGATAATCTGAACAATACCGTTAAATCCTATAGAGTGATGATGCACTCCAAATACGTGAAACGAATAGGAGAAAGTTTGTTTTACAACGGGTAAAAATGAATTTTACCCTAAAATAAAAGTTAATTATTTTGAAGGGTGAAAATAAAACTAAAAGAAAATTAAATATTCAAAGAAAAATAGAAATAATTAGTGAGACATATACTGAATAATTTAAGTCCAAATTTTCATTGAGCTAAGTGATAGTTATGCGGCTACTCGGGCTAGCCATTCACCATGATTTACGTGAACGCCATTATAATACAAACTGCCACGTGGCAAATGTACAGACCTCCCCCGCCTCATCCGTAATGGAAACTGCCCGTCATTTTCTCCTGCCTGTTACCCGGTTCAGTGTCTCGGCGTCACCCCCCGAGTACGCTAGCAAAACCCCTACACTCCAAAATCTACTCTTTTTTCCTTGTTTTCTCCTTAGCCTTTATATTAAATTAATAATTGAATAATTTAAATTCTTCCAAATGATTTATAGCTATTTTCATGTAACGTCAAAAAGGTCGGATACCATAACCTATGGTCGAAAGAAATGCACTCCTACCAACATTATATTATGCACGTTGGAAGAATGTAATATCTTCGACGCACCGTAAAGCTACATCAGGAGAAAGACATTTCTTTCGATGTACTTTAATGTCATATCGAGAGAAGTTCGTTTAAAACCTTAGAACCCCGTTCTTCATTCATTTGCAAAAAGTTTCAAATACTGGAAAAACGTTGAAGAAATATCTCAACTCTTACAATATTTGACAATCCCTACACGATTTCAAAGCTTGACTACCAACAAGTTTAAGCAATTTTATACCAAACCCAATTTCTCTTAATGCATTTTATCTCAATACTATGAAACGTGACGAGTGAAATCGTTTTCTAAACTAAAATATTATTGTTTAGAGAACTAGATTTCTTCTTACAATAGGAAAACGACGTCGAGAGTCACCTTATCTCTAATCAAACGTTACGCCTCCTCACTTATTTATTTTAATATTAAACCCTTGAAGCTTTTACAATTATACTCCAAAATTTGCAAATAAATCCCACCCTTAAAGAGATTTATAAGAATAGGGTTTGATGACAAATAATTTGTAAATTTATACAAGAGTGAAAATAATAATAATACCATTCCTTGTACTTCAAACCAACAAAATTGGGTCAAAAACTCAAAATTACAAAGCTTGGTAATATGAACTTTAAGCCGAGGATCCAATTCTACAACCTTAAAGTTCCCAAAATTCATAGCATTTTTGACAACAAACATGTCTTGAAAATGCTATTGATGGAACTTTCAGCTGTTTTAGATCCTTAAAATATAAGAACAAAACTTGGATTATACAAGGTACGAGGAAAGTACTAAACTTTCTTAATTTTTTGGTCATGTAATTGAGTTAGCAAATTAAACAAAAAAAAAAAAAAAAAGGAACGAAATCAGGTGGTGGTAGTAGTAGTAGTATACATCATCGTGTATTTTTTGTTCTATTTTAAGTGTCATTCCATATGGTAAAAGGCGGCGGAGCTCCGCCGTGACAAACCGTCCTGGCTGGTGGAAGCCAGTTGTTGCATTGCTGTAGCGCCGTCGTGGGCGGTGGCAGCTGATGAGAGGAATTGTTATAATCGTATAAATTGGTGGTGGATCTTGTTGCATGGTATGGATCGTCCACGTTAGAAGAACATCCAAACAAATTCACTTCTCCAATTTCTCCCAACCCACCACCATTGTTGTTGCTGCTGCTGCTCCCAGCTTCCGCCCCAGCTGCCGCCATCGAAATCAGGAAGTTCCCGCCGTACCCGTCTCCGCTTACGCCACCACCGTAAACCCCATGATCCATTGAGTCCATGGCTCCGCCGTGTGGGAAGAAGTTGTCTGCAGCGGCGACGGTCGCGTCGTTCTCTTGCTTGCACCATAGCCGTTGCTGTGTAGCGGCGTACGGGTAGTGGAAGGCGTATGGATGGTGGTGGAAGGCAAAACTTGGCCATCCGCCGCCACTGTAAGGGGCGGCGGTGATTATTCCATCGGAGAGATGTGAAGTTATGTTCTCGTCGCTTCGTTGTGGATCAATATCAGAGTGAACGATATCTTTTAAACGTTTTGCAGCGCCACCGATAGGTAATGTATTGCTTTCGAGAATGGCTTTAACATCATAACGACTCATATCGAAGTTGGTCACCGCATTTAGTCCCCGAAACTTTATTGCCGCCGTGTCATATGCTTCTGCTGCTTCCTCTTGTGTGCCTAAATTCAAAATTTTTCAATATCAGAATAGCTCAGCCGTAACTTACATGTTTTAAAATTTTAAACCCTTTAACCGAATAAAAGAGCTCCTAATCAACTTAGAACAAAATTTAACTAAACAAGACATCACCGATATTACACAATTATCTTAATATTCGTTCGATCGCTATAATTGACTTACTGAAAGTTCCCAAGTAGAGGTCTTTGTTCCCAGCAACTCGCCCTATTCTCGCTTGCCATCTCCCATGCTGATGGTGTCTGCCAACCAATATTTACAAATTTTAATTTCATTGAAAGAAAACAAGCGAAGAATTAGTAGCGGGTTATCAATCCGAGTATTCGATATCAAATTTGGTTTATTTTACCTTACTTCCTATCTAAAACTATTAGTTTCTTAAAATTTGGAAAAATCAGGTGAGAGATAAATGATATGCAATAGTCCAAACCCACCACTAACACATATTGTACTCTTTAGGCTTTTCGTTTCGAGCTACCCCTCAATGTTTTTAAAACACGACTTCATTCATGCTTCATTTAGCAATACCTGACACGTTTTTTTGGAGGAAAACGAACCATTCTTTATTAGGGTGTGGAAACCTCTCCCTAGTAGACATGTTTTAAAAATCTTGAGAGGAAACCCAAAACGAAAACCCTAAAAATAACAATATCCGATAGCAGTGGACTTAGACTTAAACTGTTACATAATATATCTAGAAGAATACTACGTTAAATAGGTTAAAACATCTACTCTTTTTTCATCGAGAGTCGAAAGTA